AAAGCCTGGAAGGAGAAAATACAAATTGAGGGGAGACAGATATTTTTCGACCACGATTATCCAACGGAGGTGATGAAGAGACGTAAATCCTACTCTGAGATTAAAAAGACTCTGAAAAGCAAAAAGATCTGCTTCCAAACACCGCTGAGTAGGATAAGGATCCACTGGCTGGATGAACCCAAGATCTATAACAACGCTGAAGAAGGAGCGCGAGAGATGAGGAACAGAGGGCTGGAGGTACCGGAGGGGAGCAGCAGCAGCAGCCCCCCCACTGGAGGAGCGCATCCTGAGAGCCTCTACATGGCAACGCGTTGGAGAGAAGACGGTGATAAACGGGACGACTACCGCCCAGGAGGAACGCCGAGAAGCAGGGAGCCGGGCGAGGGAAAGGCTACAAGAATTTAAAAGATGAAAAAGAAAAAACTTTTGAAAAAAGAGATAGAAAGATAAGGTATACCAAGAAGGGGGTGTAAGGGGGAAAATCCAGTGAACCCAGAAGAACTAAATGTCTCCTGTTTTTAAGTTAGCTTCTACAGCGGCTGGGTGAGTAAACAGAGACACTAAAACGGGTCAGATTTATAGTTAACTTTTGTGTTGTGATTTTTATTTTATTTCTGTGCTAGACTGGTTTTTTTTAGTATACCAAAAAGGGTTCCACTGAAACAATGGGGAATTTTAAAATCATCCCTCTCCCCCAGAAGCACAAGACTTCTCTAATGTTTACATAAGAATCGACAAGGAGAACTATAAAACTAGTGATTGTTGGTCTTATCTAGTAGGATTAAGGAAGTTGCCGATAAAGCGCGAAGATATATTATGATTAAAGGTAAATTAGAAAACCATCTGGTGACATTATTCAATGTGTATGCCGCTCCGCAAAGTGGGAAAACATTTTTTGGGAAAATATTTGATCTTATAAATTTGGAATCGGAAGGAACATTGATATGTGGAGGTTAGACACAACAAGTATGAAGAGAAGCAAAGAACAAGTTAAAAATATAATAGATGTATGGAGAGAACTCCATCCAGTTGATCAGGATTATACCCACTACTTGGCCCCTCATGCAATGTACTCCAGAATTGATTATTTTCTAATGAATAAGGGAGATATATACAAAGTGAAGGACAGCAGGATAGGGGTAACTTATATATCAGATCACAGTGCAATTTACCTAGAAATTAATTTGAACAACAAGAGGAAAAATACGGTATGGAGACTTGACGAAGGTATACTGAACAATAAGGGATTAGTTGAAGAATTAAAAGGGGAAATAACTAGATACAGGGAAGAAAACGATAATGGGGAAGTAGACCCAACAATCTTATGGGATGCCCTAAAAGCTGTAATAAGGGGGAAGCTGATTTCGTACACAGCTTTTGCTAAAAAAGCCAGGTTAGAAACATACCAGAAAGAAATTGAAGAATTAAAAGAACTGGAGCACCAGCATAAACAGACAAAAGATCCGGTAATACTTAACCAGGTTAAAGAAGTTAGGAAATGATGATATCCTGTTGGAAGAGGTGGAAAGGAAGGCTAGGTTTATAAAACAAACTTACTATGAGGGAGGATCTAAAGCCACTAAAAGTATTGCAAGACATATAAAGAAACAGCAAGCATTAAATAATATACATAAAATGGAAACCCAGGATCCGATTCAAAACTCTGCAGCTCCCAAAGGACAAAGGAGGTCTGGCTTTACCAAGCCTTAGGGAATACTTTTACGCTGCACAAATAAGACCTCTGATATATTGGTGCAAGGATGAGTATGTTGCAAGATGGAAAAGTATAGAAATAGGGCAGAAAGACATTGAAACACGAAACTTAATTGCACACAAAGGATTAATCCACAAGTTAGGTAACCAATTGGACTCAATAACCAAAACTACAGTAGAAATATGGAACAAGATTGTTGAAAGACATAAACTAGAGAAAGAAACAAAGATTTTGAGTTGGTTCGCATTTGATTCGAGGTTTGTACCTGGTACGAATGATAAGGGGTTTAAGCATTGGACGAAAAAAGGCATTACAGCGATATGTACCATGGTCGAACGGGGGAAGCTGCAGAGTTTTGAAAAGTTAAGGGAAACATTGGGATTAGATGAACATGATCAATATCGATACAGACAAATAAAGGACTATTATGTGAAGGAGATACAAACTGACACTTATAATGAAGTTATTGATGTGTTTTTGAAAGCTTATGAGGGAAAAAAAATGTAAAGTAATCTCAGCCCTTTACAAAGGTTTGTTGTCATGTTGGAAGACTTCCTCTCTTTATATCAAAGAAAAATGGGAAAAAGAGTTGAAGGAGCAGATAACTGAGGAGGAATGGTTTAATATTTGTAAAACGCAATGCACAGCCACTAGCTCCAGGATCTGAAGAGAATTCAATTGGAAAAATGTAGTCAGATTTTTTATAACTCCAAACATTAGGAAGGGAACCGAATGTAACCAGCAACCATGCTGGAGGCTATGTGGACACATGGATGTCCCATATGCATATTTTCTGGTCTTGCCAAAAGAAAATAGGGTATTGGGATAAAATATGGCGGAGTTTAAGAAAAATAATAGGATATGAGATACCCAAATCTTGTAAGATACTTTATTTGGGAAATTTGACACAAGATATAATACAAAAAGAGGATGAATATCTTGTTAAAGTTTTGCTATCAGCAAGTAAAAAAGCAATAACAAGGTTATGGTATAGAGCAGAACCACCAACGGTGGAGCAGTGGGTGTGCACTGTGGAAGAAATATTTGAAATGGAAAAAATTACACATAAACTACGATTACAAGAGACACAATTTCAGGAAAAATGGGAGAAATGGACAGACTATAGAACACAGCAAGAGGACACCACTATCACCACTGGACAATAAGGACACTGATGTGAGAATAATTGCATTGTGAAGTGTGTAAAACCTGACACTGTAATTGTTGAAAGAAAATTCCAATAAAAAATAAGTTATAAAAAAAAAAAAAAGGTAATACATGTACGTTGTTATGACTGCTAATGTGAATTTAATGGGAAAATGACCTGGGACCTCACGTATAAATGTTGCGTACGCAGAAAAACATTGCATACACCATCTTTCACGCTCAGATAGATCAAGAGTGAAATGAAAGTGAGAATTTGTGTTCCTCCATGCCAGCTTCATGTCTGGTATATGCATTTTTCAAATGGTTACAGTCAAATGGCGACACTTTGAGGTGATGCAGTGACTACTAACATTGGGAAAAGATTTACAAGTCGGTCAGACCACATGTCAAAACAACTACTCCTCAAAGCCTTATTGGAAACAATATCCTTCCACATGTACGCAATTAAATAAGTGGACATAAAAGCTTGCGTAAAAGGATACAATACTTGCCCTAATAACAATGGCAGCTTTGGACTGGAGGAAATAGCGAATGGCAAAATATTGTATATGGTATTTAGAAACCACACAGTTTATTTATCCGAACAAACAGCATGGATGAATGATGGGTGGCTTCTGGATAGGTAATTAATTCTTAAGTTAAATCAATTTCTCTGACGCACATGGGAGTCCATACGCCTTGAGTTATATCATTGTCTTTAGAGCATCTGAGCGTCTGTCTTGTCTATGTGGGTCATTTACTCCATAAACTAATGTTGGAAAGAATTTGGATAGTTTCATAGTCTCTTGTCTGGCACATCTCTGCATTCCATGAGTGTCTACTGCTTGTTTTCTATGACTATGCTATTAATGCCAGAGGACAAAGTGCAGAATAATTTTTCTGGACTCTAACTCTGAAAGCAACACCTCCTCATTAGCATATTAAATTTGGGGCAGAGAGAAGGGAGAGTGTGGTGTTCCTGCATGTGCGCTCAATTCCACATTAATTGGGATGTACAAAGAAAATGTGTGTGGAATCCTGTGTGCACACGGTTTCATACATCTGACACATCTTTAGAGCTTCGTGTGTATGCCACGTTTCAGTGTGAATTCTGGGCAAGGTTTTTTTACATGATGCCCCTGGTGCTTACAGTGTATCTCTGAAAGGGGCTTACATGCTCTCTGTACACACCCATATGTTGTCCCATTACACAGGCGTAAGCCAGGCAACAACACACATAGAGACACATACCTGCAGCAGTGGTTTGTCCTGCATCCACAGACAGTAAAACAGACCCTTCCACAGCTTGAGCAGCTCATCACTCCTGAACCCACCTGTACACAGGAGGGAAGAACGAGTGTTACCTGTAATCGAACTGCAGTGATTGATTAATTGGGTTTCTGACAGTCTGTGGCCTCGTTGACCCCATGTTTGCTACATCATAGACAACAGGAGATCAGCTGTAACGTTTGCTACATACAAATAAATGAGCCTCTGACCCAAGAGCTGACTTACCTCCACACGTGTGAACTGGCTAACATTTATTTTAATAACAGAATCAGCGTCAGAGTGGGACCAGTACCTGTAACACACTCCGTTCAACATCGTAATCATCAATGTGTTCTTACTAGCTTCTCGTTTTTTAATCAAAAGTTAATAAATAGTTTGGTGTTTGCTCTATGTTTGAGCTGTTTTAACAAGTCAAAGCTAGGTGGCTAACCCACACAGGCTAGCTTACCTGCCGCTTTCTGTGACCTGACACTGATGTATTTCCTCAGTTTCTTGATAGCCTTGGTCCGGGTCGATTTCTCATTGGAGGCCAGTTTCTGTGCGAATTGGACCTCCGGCTCCTGAATCGACGCCATGCTCACACCGCTTCACGTGGAGACACTTCGCTCCTCCACTACGTCGCTACTGCTTCCCCCACGTTTCCCTCTTCTTCTTCTCCTTTCTGTAGCGGTGGCAACCAACGCTAAGGTACATTACCGCCACCCACCGGCGGGTTGCAACCAGTGTTAAGGTGCATTATTGCCACCTACCGGACTAGACATAGATTGCTGGGGGAAAAAGTTGAGAAAGTGCTGAAATAGATCGTTAGATAAGTGAAAAAATTTGACCTGGTTAAATTAAAAATCAGGGGATCAACACACTCTTTAAGCTTGGACTTGGACTTATATGTATATATGTATATATGTATATATATATATATATATAGCATCATAAGCTCACAATATGTTACCTGGGACTTTAGAGGCATGTCCAATAGTTCACATTTATTTATATTTTTTACCAAAGACCTAATCCTGCAGACAATATTTTAATCAGTTTAATTACAAGAGGAGTTTGGTTCAAGTCTTTAAAAAAAAGTGTAGCACCATATAAATACCTTAGAAATAGAAATACCTCGAATAATACTTCTCTCATAATGTGGAGTGGAGTAGGACAGAAAGTAAAAATAAATTAGACCAGACCGCATTGATGAACACGGTCTGAGTCTGACTGAAGAATTACCAACTGAGTAAAGTGTTTTGACAAACTTACAGATATGGTCCCCAAAACCACATCTGGAAAGTGACTGATAAATATGTGACCAGGACATTGAACACCTAATAAAAGTACAAAATAAAAGACACAAAAAAAACAACACATAAAAACACAAAATAATAATTCCTGGAGAAATGTTGAATGTGCCTGCTGCTTGGTGCATATCAATCAGCTATCAGATGATGCTGGATATTTGTGCAAATGGGTGATGAAGCTCTGCATCATAGCCAGATGCCGGATGTGATGGTGGCATTATGTGGCAGTCCCTGAAGCATTGTTGGTGATACTACCAAGTACATAACAGGGATATGAAATATAACTAAATGGACCTTTAAACATAAATTCAACAATAGAAATCGCTGTTAATTACAATGTGTATTAAATTGACCACTTCTTCTATTCAGCACATTGGTCTAATATTAACATGAACAACTGCTGATACATTTAAGCTACAGTTGAAGGGAATTAAGATAGCAAATCGTCAGCAAGCATAGTAAATGTACAACAACAGAGCAGGTTAGAGAGTCTAATGCATAATTATTCTTAACAAAAATGTCACAATTTACATTTACTGTATATCCTTCATGTACATATCGGGAGTAAAAGACAGTCCAGAGTATTGTCCCTTGGCAAGTTTCACCATCACAACTGCAGGGAAAGACTCCTCTCATCAACTATGGCTCTGCTCGTTAACTACCGAAACTTTGCCATGCCAAAGACCCCCATATAGCATTAGCCTCTGGCGGGGACCCCCCTGTTGCAAACTTTTTTTTAAAAGTACGTGTACATTATGATGATAAATATCAAAAATCAAACATACAGCTTCTTAATATATTTTCCTTAATTTCTATTAATAATTAATAATCAGTCTTTCTTCTGTTATAAACATTCCTTGACATTTCTGTCTTAATATTCAACAGTAAACATATTTTCTGTTAGACTTTTTCTCTTTTGTTAGGCCTATTTATTCATTTCATCAAGTGTCTTCTGTTATAAACTACCCAGAACTGCGAAAAACTGCGCTTATACAACATAATTTCGCAGAGTTACAGCTGGCAAGCCGATTTGAACTGCTGAAAGTAAATTTTCTCATGCGATTGTTTCATGTGTCATTGTCATGATCAGATGATAGATTAATAAGTACTTTAAAACATCCTTAACTGTATAATGTCAGAGTTTTTCAGTATAGCAGTAAAACAGGTATAAATGTCAGCAGACGCTGTCGGGATGATTGAAACACTTGTTTCATTCGCCCTGCTACAGTAGTAGCCTAATGCCCATACAGCATGTGTTACACAATTTAATAACAGATGTCTTTCATATTGCACCAACAGAAAATGCCGAGAATAAGAGTTTGGATATGCAGTGATTAACAACATCTAAAGAACATATACTAAAATGTTATTGTCACATTTTCCCCCCTTTTTCCCTGAAAGTGTCCACGACCCCCCTGGCGGCCCCTGGCGACCCCCCAGTAGGTCAGGATCCCCACTTTGAAAAACAATGAACTACGGCACCGCTGGTTAACTGCTGCCCTCTGTATGTTGCGGTGATGGATGGGGCTGTATGTCGGGAGTGAGGGAAGGAGGGAGAGTCTGTATGCTTGATATCGCCTTATTAAAGGGTCAAATTGGTAGGCTTTTGTACATCGCTGCCCCAACTGTCCGACTAGGCAGTTTAATATCAGGGACAAAGTCTAGCCAGTGGTCTCCTGGTCGTCTGTATCCTCAAGAACTGGGAGTGGGTGAGTGGGAGTGAGTCGAACTACTGGGTGCATATACGTTCGGTTCTTAACCTGGACAGTGGTGGTTCTGATACGTCCATCCTCCCCCGGGTAGGTATGACTGATCTTCCCCACAGGCCATGATGCCCGCAGATGCTGGGGGTCTACTATCAGAACTATCTGATCCACAGTGAGTGCCTCACCATCCCTCTGCCATTTAGTGAGTTCCTGTATAGTGATAGTGATAGTGTCTGATGAAGGATGACCAGAAATGATTAGCCAGCACCTGGCTGTGCCCCCAGTGTCTTCTCCCCAGATCACCAGGATCATAAATTGCCTGGGGAAGTGATGGGTCAATGCTCCCCCATAAGTAGTAGATTGGGGGTGACTGGGTCTGGGTCCATTGTGTTGGATGACAAGTAACTGAAGGGTTTGGCATTCATAATACCTTCAACTACAGCCAACATTGTCTGGAGCACAGTTTCTGAAACAGTTTGCTCTTTGAGGACAACTCGAAGTGTTGTCTTGATGGATTTAACTACCCTCTCCCAGGTTACACCAAATTGTGGTGCACTGGGGGGACTGAATTGAAACAGAATCTGGTGCTCCACGAGTTGGTCTTTCAGCTTAGGGGCCATGGATGTAACAGCTTCACGCAGTTCAAAGTTGGTACCGTTGTCCATGAGAAGTTCAAAAGGCTTGCCTCGACATACAATGAATCGTCTCAAGGACAGCAAAAAAGCATCCGTATCCAAACTCTCCACTAAGTCAAGATGCATTGAACGAGTAGTCATACATTTGTAGACTATACCCCATCTCTTTTCAATTCGGAGGCCAATCTTGAACTGGTAAGGACTGAAACAGTCCACTCCATTTGAAAAGATGGGCGGTTTGTGAAGTCTGAACCAAGCAGGTGGGACATTAGCCATCTTTGGCACATCCAGCTGAGCTTTCCAGCATCGACACTCTAAGCACAAATGTTGATGTTTGTGCATGGCCTCTCTCCCCTCTAGGAACCAGAATTTGCGTCTGAGTTCGGCAAGGATTCTTTCGGGCCCAGGGTGCAGGAGTGATTCATCCATGTCTTGAATCAGTAGCTTGGTTATCTGGTGACTCAGATCCAAGATAACAGGGTGGATCATGCCCAACTCAAGGGTTTCTGCATGTTGCAGCTGTCCACCAAACCTGAGTAGTCCTGTAGCCTCATCATATTCTGGAGAGAGGGGCATGAGTCAGCTATCTGAGGGCAGAGGACGACCAGACTTAAGGGCCTTCAGTTCTTCTTGGAAGGAATCCCCTTGGGACTGCGACAGGAGGAGCTTCTCAACTAGTAAGAAATCAGCTGCTTTGTGCCGCACTCGTCTTAAGACAAGGCATGGAGCGTAGCCTTTTGGCTGCAATGCATGACCTTGTGAGAACAAAGGACACATGTACCAGTTGATGGTCATGTACTGTCTCCAGGTAGGCGATGGACATTCAGAGGAGTCACAAAATATGTCCACATGCCTCATGACAGTGACAGTATCTACACAGGATGGAGCGTAGGTGTGTGGAAGTTTTCCGAGCTCAGCCATCTGTCCAAGGTTCAGTGGCTGGATGGTGTCATCCCAAACGACGTTCATCGTAGAGTTTGGCAAGGACACTATAAACGTGCCTGAAAGTGGGTTCTGAGGCTTCGGTCAGACGATGCCTGTAACCCAGTGCGTCACTGAGGCAATCCCAGCTTAGTCCCAATATCAGCTCTTGAAGGTCATTGCTGGCTTTAGACCACCACAACTCACTACTCATTGACTGGGCCTCAGGAGGCAGGTGTTCAATGACCTCTGGCACACTACTGGCCCATTGCCGGATCTCAAAGCCACCCGTGCTATGCAGTTGTTGCAGACTGTCTCCAACTTCACGGGTGCTGTGGAGGCAGTTGTTCACGAAGGAGTTTTCAATCACTTCCATGGTCCTTGACATGCTGCTGCAGAACGTAAACTGTGCAGCAGGGACTACATGTTGTGCCAAATGGAAATACCTGCCATTCAAAGATGCTTGGTTCCACGGTTCTATGCATGTCAGTCCAGAGGAATCGCAGTACTGGCCGGTCCCTGGGCAGCAAGCAGATCTGGTTGAACATTGACTTGATATCTCCACTTACTGCCACAGCATGCTGGTCAAATCTCAGCAGGAGACCAATCAGGGATGGGCCCAGGGTTGGTCCAGGTACAAGCTGGTTGTTAAGTGACTGACCATTGTAGGAGAAGGAACAGTTAAAAACAATCTTGTCCTTTCCATTATGGTGCACCATATGATGTGGTATGTACCACAACTCCGAAGTCAGTGCAGCCTCCTCAGGGGGAATCTTAACCACGTAGTCAGCTTGCACAAGTTTGTCCATTTCTCTGCAGTATGCCTCTGCCCTTTGGGGGTCCTTAGCTAGCCTACGTTCAGTGCTGCATAGACATGGCAACACAGCTTCTTTAGGAGCATGTAAGGTGGTAGGCGGATGGCGCCAGAGCAATGGGGGAGCATAGCGCTGGATACTGTCAACATGTGTTGGTACCAGTAGGTGTGGCATATCTGATGAATGGATAGCAAGGACAGTCCCTTGAGATTCTTGTAGCATTTCTTAAGCACTGTTACTAGGTAAGTAT